TTTAATAAAAATATCCTTTAATAAAGAATTTATATAATTCTTCAAAAAATGTCATATGATATTAATTTTTATAATAATTTATTGATCAGTGTGTCCAAATATAAATTCAATTTATATAAAAATAAAAATATTCAATATTTTAAAAATTAATATATTGAAAAATTAATTTTTATTTTAATAGATTAATATTAAAATAATATATTAGTTTTTGAGAATTACATTGGCCAACGATGTTAATACATCAATCTCTTATGAGGCCTTATCCCTCACCCTTAGGCCGGATTAAGTTATACATCGTTTTGATGTATTAAGGGATTATGTTGTATAAGCTTATATTATACGATGGTCATACCAAACAATTGAAAATGTCATAACGTATATTATAAGCTTATACTATCATGCCTTATACGTCACACCAAACAGGCCCTAAATTTGTATACAAGCTCTTCTGGATAAAAAAACAAATAATCCATTCCAATTATAGATTAATTACAAAAAACAAATCCTCATATGGTTAAAGACTTAAAAGTTAGACTTCCTAAACTTATAAAACCATGTAAAACAAGGTGATTTTCTTTTTTGAGATATTTCAATCGGTTTATAGCTTCGCGATTTGTTCGATTCGGGGGCGGGTACCGTAATTAAGGCTTCAAACCCCTCTTAAAGACGGTACTTGGAAGGATTGAACACATACTCTCACCCCCACTTGCGCAGTTCCCTAACGTCAACTGAGCTACCATCATTTAATAGTTGCGTAAATTTTTAACCCTTATTATAAAATGTCAACTATGTATGATTTGGTAATTTATGTAAAACATTATTTCAACCCAAAAACATAAATTATTAGGTGAATGTCACATTAATAGTTTTTATATTATATATCTCTAACACGCTCCATTGGGGTCCACATACCTATGTTAAATTTTTTTACAATATTTAATTATTATTTATTAATAGAATATGAGCGGCGATGATCAAACTTGTAACTACTTGGTTACAGAGACTCTAATACTATATAATAAGTTAATTGAACCTAAAAGCTTACATGGTATCAAAGCTTATGATTGAGTGGTTACAAATTCAATCTTCACTATCCCATCCTTCTAATAAATATTTGGTTGTTAAATTTCTTAGCACATATAGGTGAACTTGTTCATTATTCATTCTTCAATCTCAGTGGACTCTTTTACGATGAAATGTGTTAAAGAAGTCTAATATAAAACCATTAATATAATAAATATCACTTATAGGTGTAAAATTTTAGGTCGAAGTGACAATTTAGGATGCAAGATGTTGAGTTTGAAATCATAAGAGAAATTTTAACATATTATATCTGTAATTAAATAAGATTTCTTGCATTTTAGTCAACTCTTTTAGACCGAAAGCTTAATGGCATGTACAATGATTATCAGGCCTAGCCCTCAATTGTTTAAATGATAAACTTTTTTTTATACATGTTAAATGATAATTGTAACACCCCATATGCATCCGAATTTATTATCATATTACAGTATTAAGCACAACTCAATTAAATGCAGAAACTAAAATAAATCAAGTTATTAGACATGTAAGATTACTTTTTTCTTTATTAACATAACAATATGAAAATTCATCTACATCCTTATGTAATTCCAAAACCACAATAGAATTCCCGAAATGCCTCAATATCATAAATAAATACTAAGTCATGAAACTACATCACGTAGTCATGACCAACGTCCACATATCATGACGTATACAAAACATTGTTTAAAAACATAATATCCAAAATACTAAGTCATCTATTGCATTGCTGTCATTTTTTTCCACGCGGGAATCGATTCCCCCCGACTGGAATCAATTTTGCCACGACAGAATGCAAAAAAACTGCATTTTTTTTTCTATATAATCCTTATTTCCATGGCTTCCCAAGGGTTCTAACTCTGATATTCTCACTTACAGAAGTTCAATTAATTTTATTACACTTAGATTAATAACCCCCAACACAAATTATCAAAATTCGTCTTTTTAATGACTTAAAACAAGCTATTTTCATGAAAATGAAAGGAAAATGATTAAGGATTACCTTGGGGCTCTTGAAAACAGAGAAAGAAAGGAGATTTGAAGACTTTGATGTTATCCTAAGCCATTGCCCAATGGTTGCATGAAAATCCTTGAGAAAACTTAGTTCTTTCTCTACAAAATTGGTTTCTTGGAACTTCAAAGTGTGGAAAATGGCTTCCCACCACTCTCTCAAAAGACGACAATCCTAAACCCCTACAACACAGTGACCATGCCACCGAAGAACAACCTTTTCACTTGGAAGATGATAGCTTTCTAATGTATAGAGTGATTCAAGAGAAGAAATGTGAAGAAAGGTAAGGTCTTTGAGTGATTCTCATGGAAGGTGACTCAAGAACTTAGAGAGAAATAAGAGACTGTGCTAGGGTTTTGCAAAGTTTTTTATGTAAGTGTCAAGACAATGTAAGGAAAATAGGGGTCTTAAGTCACCTAAAAGGACACTGCTTACTAACTTGTCGGTATTAGTTCTAATGGTTATGTTCTTTGTTTTGCTCTTAAAATTTATATTCTTAACCTAGACATTTTTCTAAAAATTATCATATTTTAATTTTAATTTTTTAGACACTTCACCGGTATGCATTTATACTGCAAAATACCCGATATTTATACTTTTCTTCCATAAAGTGACCTAATCTTAATTATTATTATTTTCTCTTAATTTTTCTAGGTCAATTATATAATTATTTATTAACATCGTATTTAACTCCTTAAATTCCTAATTTAGCAATGTAGGTTCTTATAATAATCTTTACTTTTATAATTTTTGGTATAGTAGCAATATTTTTGGGTTAATTAGGATTTTTTTAACAATTTTAAGATCTACTCCCTACATCGATTTAGTACATTTAAAAATTAATTATCCTATATTTGTTACGATCACAACAAGTATATCGGCCGTATAAGTAATATAGTGAAAAAATAGGATTATCATTCCCACAAGGATTGATGTATCAAGCAATAAGGTATCTATACGATAAAAAATAAATCGATCGAAACAAGTTTAGAGAATACAATTTAAATTATAAAAACAAAAATTAAAACAACCTAATAATAATCAAGATAAAAGAAAATCAAAGATAAAGAACACAAATAATTCGGAGTAAAATTCAAGAATGCAAATGTGGCTAGAGATTTGATTTCTCTAACGTCTTCCTAATGAATTTACCCTTTCCTATAATCAATATTCAAGAACATGTTATTGACGATTGTTTTAGAATTAACTAAACTACTATCCCTTAGTGATTTAATCCTTTACTCTATTCAAAATCCTAATTCCTTAGTGATCTCTTCTAGAGCAAGCATTAAGAACAAGAATCATAAAGCCATAAGATTCATAAGTCTATCCCTAGATCATACAAACCTCGACAATTAATCAATCGGAATCAAGCACCAGCATCCCTATTGTCATGAAGATTCTAATGCTCATATATGACTGGCCAAATCATAAACGAAACTAGGAATTGAAACAGAATAATTGCATAACAATAAACTTGAATATCAATTACAAGAAAGCAGTAAAAAACATTAGGAACACATTGCATTGGTTCTTTCTAACCCTAACCACATAAAATAAACTAGCCTAGCTTTGTCATAGAAACAATAGCAATAAAAGGAAAGTAATGAAAAGTCATAGAGAAAACATGGTGATCAAAGTGAATGGTGAAATCTTGAGTCTTTCTTCCTTCTCCTCCTCCAAGAAAGCTACTCTTCTACCTCTCCAAGACGTCTCAGCCACACAAGAATGAATAGAATAGCCCTAGCTCGTCCCTTTTTAACGCAAATATCCATGGACCTCCATTTACGACGTTACTCGCTGGTTTGCAAACTGGCGAGGTGAATTGACCAGTTCACTGTTTGCTTGCTTGGTCGAGCATTAAGGCAAGCAGACATGTGAAAATGGCTATTTTTGATGTATTCTCGCTGAATAACTTGTTGTAGTGAAAAACTCAGCGAGATGCAATGTGAGATCACTTCTTGGGTTTCAGCTTGGCTTAAGTCTTGACTTCTTCTGACTTCCTTGATCCATCAATACTCTGATAAGGTGATTTTGACCTGAAACCGATATATTTTTAAGTGAGAAACATAAAAACTCTAAAGTCTTTTGCATTTGATCATATATGACATGTCTTTAACTATTTACAATAATATTTATCATACTTTTGCCTCTAAACACGTGATGTGTTTGACACTTATCACTATTTGGCTTCAAATCGAAACTCAAATAGTCAGGAGACTAAGCACACTCCAAACTATAAACTAATTAATTCCCTGAGTTACAAATTTTACTGTTAAATTCAACGAGGCAATATCAAACCTCAGTTTTCATTCTCCATGAGCTAATGCACGATGAAGGCCTTTCAGGTTTTTTTGACCATTTTAGTTGTAGTTTGGAATGTAAATACTAATTTGGAATTCTGGCTTTTTATAATTTTGTTGCATTCAAATCACATTTAAGTGGTCTACATATGACAGTACCTTTCTGACTTCTTATCATATAATGCATTAACTCAAATCCAAAGATTACATTTTTTTTTGGGTAGTTTGCAGGGGAGATAAACTCGCAGAAGATCAACTCACAGCAAATAAACTCTGCCTTTAGATATCATTCCCTTGTTTTCATCGAGTTTAATTTTTGGGTTACGGAGCTCTCATGTCACTGCAGACGGGAAAAAGTACAGCAACACTTATTTTTTCTCTTTTTTTTAGGCCAGGACCACGTATTCTATTGTTAAAAATTTGCTGTAACTTTTCTCATCAGCAATGAAAGGAGAACCCACGAATCCTTAATTTTTATCTATTATTTTATGAGAGTAATATTTTTATCGAGTTTAATTTTTTATTTTTTATTTTTGATAAACAAGAAGAAAGAAAGAAGAAGAAGAAGATAAATATCTCGTGCTTGAAGTTCAAACTTCAAACGTGTCGTAGTTATACATATCTAGATTTCATGGCAAAAAATTAAAAAGTTGTCCACAAAAAAATGGAGTGTTTGAAACTCTTCCACTTCACCCCGCTGCTAGCTCCAACTTCTGAACCCTATTTCATTTTTCCGAAGACCAAGACCAAGACAAAGAAGAAGAAACTGAATCCCATTCACTCCTCGAATGTCCATCGCGACCCATGGTCCCCCAGACAAGGCGACCCCACGAAACCGAAGCCACGGTTCAAGAACCCGAAGAACCCTCTCTCCGATGACAACGCTCGCCGCATCATCAAGGCAAAGGCTCAGTACCTCAGCGTTCTTCGGAGGAACCAGGGCCCACAGGCACAGACCCCTCGCTGGATCAAGAGAACACCCGAACAGATGGTTCAGTACTTGCATGATGACCGCAACGGCCAAATGTACGGAAAACACGTGGTGGCTGCAATCAAGAAGGTGCGTGCTCTCTCACAGAAGCATGATGGTGATTATGACATGAGAATGGTCATGGCTTCCTTTGTTGGCAAGCTCAGCTTCAAGGAAATGTGTGTTGTCCTCAAGGAACAAAAAGGGTGGAGGCAAGTCAGAGACTTTTTTGATTGGATGAAATTGCAGGTTCTACTTCTTACCTATTCTGTCACTTGGTTTTTGAATTTTTGAATTTGGATTATTTGAATGTTCATTTTATTTGAAATTTTCAAGATAAGGTCTGTGTGTGTTCATTTTATTATGTGGTTTTTCTCCAAAGTATAGATATTGATACTGTTGTATTGATAGTCTGGTGCTTCAACAGCTATGCTACCGTCCAAGTGTTATTGTGTACACCATAGTGTTGCGGCTGTATGGGCAAGTTGGGAAATTGAAACTGGCTGAAGAGATATTCTTGGAGATGCTTGATACAGGGTGTGAGCCAGATGAAGTTGCTTGTGGTACCATGCTTTGTTCATATGCCAGATGGGGACGCCATAAGTCTATGTTGTCTTTTTATTCGGCTGTGAAAGAGAGGGGGATGATGCTCTCTGTTTCTGTCTTCAACTTTATGTTGTCTTCTTTGCAAAAGAAATCGCTCCATGGAGAGGTTGTACAGGTGTGGAGGGATATGGTTGGAAAAGGGGTGATGCCTAATGAATTTACGTATGCGGTTGTGATCAGCTCGCTTGTCAAAGAAGGGCTGCATGAGGATGCATTCAAGACTTTTGATGAGATGAAGAATAATGGACTTGTCCCTGAGGAGATAACTTATAGCCTGCTTATAAATTTACTTGTTAAAAATGGCAACAGAGATGAAGTGCAAAGACTTTATGAGGATATGAGGTTTCTGGGAATAATTCCTAGTAATTATACTTGTGCTTCACTTATATCTTTGTATTATAGATTTGAGGACTACCCTAGAGCCCTCTCCCTCTTTTCAGAAATGGTAAGCAGCAAAATTCCAGCGGATGAAGTTATATACGGTTTGCTGATAAGAATTTATGGAAAGCTTGGTTTATATGAGGATGCTCAGAAAACATTTGAAGATACAAAGCAGCTGGGCCTACTCACCAATGAGAAAACATATTTGTCAATGGCACAAGTCCATCTTACTTCAGGAAATGTAGACAAAGCCTTGGAAGTTATTGAACTCATGAAGTGTAGCAATCTATGGTTCTCTAGATTCGCATATATTGTACTGCTGCAGTGTTATGTTATGAAAGAAGATGTAGTATCTGCTGAAGGAACATATTTAGCTCTCTGCAAGACAGGAGCACCTGATGCTGGTTGTTGTAATGATATGCTCAATCTGTATCTGGGGCTCAATTTGATGAAAAAGGCCAAGGAGTTCATTATCCGAATAAGGGAGGATAATATACATTTTGATGAGGAGCTTTATAGGACAGTTATGAAGGTTTATTGTGAGGAGGGAATGTTGCTAGAAGCTGAGCAGTTGACAAATCAGATGGTTAAGAATGAAACTTTTATAAATTATAAATTCTTCCAGACATTTTATTGGATTCTTTGTGAACATAGGGGGGATACACAATCTGATAATAAACTTGTGGCCATTGAGCCCATTGACAAACTAGACATTAGAGCTCTTGGGCTGATGCTTAGTATATATCTGACTAATGGCAACTTAAGCAAGACAAATATAATACTGAAGCTTTTGCTGGGTTGTTCTGGGGGATCAAATATTGTTAGGCAGCTTGTCATCAGCTTGGCTAAAAATGGTATATTTCTTCTATTAAAATTGATTATACCTCTTTCCGGTATATCATCTTGAAATTTCCATTTTCAACTTAAGTTATCTTTTCTTACAGGAGAAATAAGTAAAGCAGAAACTCTCAGCCATCAATTAATTAAGCTTGGCTGCAGAATGGAAGAAGCTACTGTGGCTTCTTTAATTAGCCATTATGGCAAGCAACACATGTTGAAACAAGCTGAAGATATCTTTGCAGAATATGCAGATTCCCCTACATCTAGTAAACTACTGTATAACTCTATGATGGATGCATATGCCAAATGTGGTGAACAAGAGAAAGTATATCTGCTATACAAGCAAGTAACAGATGAAGGACGTGATTTGGGTGCTGTTGGTATTAGCATTGTTGTAAATGCTTTGAGCAATGGAGGTATGGCCATGGAAGAGTAAAGTAAACTAGAATATGATCCATATTTCAACCTAACACATGCAACACCTTATTCTTTCATAAAATTCTACCAATAATATCGTATAAGTTAGAACAATTCATGAATTGTTGTCTTTCACAGTCTATAACTTGTTTGGTTCTGAAAGAGCTGTATAATACTGTGGTTGTTTTCCATAGGGCTGGGTTTGGAGAAAGACATTGATTCCAGTTTTATTTAATCTGAAAGTTTTAACTGTAGAGTGTTTAACTGATTATGTCATGCTTCATATCTGCCTTTCTTTAGTGATTTACACTTTATGCAGTTATCCTGGATTCTACAACATATATTTTGCAGATTCATGAGCTTCTCATTTTAGTCCTTGGAAATTTATCTCCCAAGGTGATACTTGATACTTCCTTTAAGTCTTTGCTCTCCTTGAAGGTAGGTAATGGTTCTGATGTAAATTTTTGGGAGGATCATCGGATAGGAGATTGCTCTCTTAATTCGGCTTTCCCAGATCTTTTTTGTCTTTCTTCCTAACAATTCTCCTATCCATGATTTCCATAGCATTCAAGATTCCACTCTTTCTTGGATTTTTCACTTTTTCGGTAACTGAAAGATCGGGAATCCTAAGTTGGAGTCTCTTTTGCATTTCTTGAGTCTTTTATTTTGTCCTCAAGTCCAGATAAAAGGATTTGATCTCTTGATCCTTTTGAGGTGTTTTTGTGTAAATCCTTCCAATTCCTAACATATTCTTTGAATACAGTTTAATTCCATCTTGATGAACGTGTTGGGAAATCCTAAGGTCCTTTATTTGGACAACTGTGCTTAATATAATTAATACCAATGACATGTTGCAGGTTTGCTGGCTGCACATGGCTATTTGACCTGATGTGTTATGCGTGCTGCAAGCAGAGTCTGTTTTACACCCTTTTTTTTGGCTCTGTTCTGTAGCCGTTTCTTTATTGAATTCGTTGTTTGGCATCTTTGGAGAGTGTTAGGTGTCTCCTAGGTCGTCCCGATTATCAGTGATGGTTTCAGGAGAAGTAAAGAAGCCAAATTTTTTGGTCATGTGCTGCCTATGCTACTCTTTGGTGCATATGGTTAGAGCATAATTCTTTGGTGCATATGGTTAGAGCATAATGCTTGTATCTTTGAGGAGAGTTTAATGAGTGCACAGCTTCTTTGGCATAGGATTAGGCTTTGGCTTCAACTTGGTGTAAAGATCATGGAATTTTTTGGGGGGTTTCCCTTGCATATATGTTTAGGGACTGGGTAGCCTTACTCCATTGATTTTTTTTTTAATTCTTCTAGTTGAATTTTCTCTTTTGAGGAAGATCTCTAATCCTCCAATCTCTGTATAATGGTATCCTTTTATCTTAATGAATTTATTCTTTTATCTGAAAAAAGAAAAAATTTGTGCAAGTTGTGTTTTTAATGTTAAATGGCTTCTTTTCAATTATTCCTGCAGTACTCCAATTGTTTCAAAAAATTAAGGGAAATGTTTACCTGCTGTCGTTTCTTGTGCAGGAGAATTAGATTTTATTGTAAAAGCGTCTGTTTTGATATCATAGAATTTAAAAACAAATTGCTCTATAGCATCATTTGTTACTTTTTATTCTCTTTTCAGCATGCATTTATTTAGCTTTTAATTGATAATTATAAGCCTAATTCTTTTTCAGGAAAACACCAGGAGGCCGAGAATATTATCTGCAGGAGTCTTGAAAAAAACTTGGAGCTTGATACTGTGGCTTACAACACCTTTATCAAAGCAATGCTTGAAGCAGGTTAATATCAAGCATCCTGCTTACATAAGAAAGATAAAAATAAGCAGGAGCCTTGCTAACACAGTTTGTTCTGTGTTGTAGGCAAATTGCATTTTGCATCCAGTATTTACGAGCGCATGTGTTCTTCTGGTGTTGCTCCGTCAATTCAAACATTTAACACCATGATAAGGTTGTAATTTTGATAAGTTGTCTTTCACCAGTAGAAGTTTTCATTTCTTTCCTTTTGGTTGCTATTTGTCAGACTAATTGTTAAACTACTGATGCAGTGTCTATGGAAAAGATAAAAAGTTGGATAGAGCTGAGGAGATGTTCAACAAAGCTCGCACATTGGATGTACCTTTGGATGAAAAAACATGCATGAATTTGATTGGCTATTATGGGAAAGCAGGTACCTGGCCATTTTACCTTAACTAAGATGAAATTCTGATAATTATGGATGCAATAATGTATTTGAGAATTCCATTGTACCTGGATTTCACGTGCATAATTTTTCTTCGTCATATCTAATATGATTCATAGAGGGTGAGTCTTGGAGCAACAATGAAGTTGTTCCTTTGTGACCAGAAGGTCACTAATTTGAGTTTGGAAAACAATCTTTTTGCAAAAATACTAAAGCTGCATACGATCGATCCTCACCCCTATTCTTGCAAATGCTGCCCTTTAATATACGATGGCAAGTGATTACTTAATGAGATTAGCACTTGGGTGTTCTAAAATCTGTATGATGATAGGTGGTTAGTTCATTTACTTCATCGTGATTGTTATATTCTACAGTGTTGCAATCAAACTCCTACTTATTTGATCTATTTTGTAGGTATGATGCATGAAGCTTCGCAGTTGTTCTGTAAAATGCAGGAAGAAGGCATAAAACCTGGAAAGGTATAGTTGAAAATTTTGACCTAAGAGTGTATAATTGACAATTCTTATAGATATTACCAAATTACTTCAAAAGCTTAGGCCCTGCTTGATTTCTATTCCCAAAAACTGTTTTTAAGTTTTTAAAACTAAAAAGTAAAAAAATCTGTTTGGAAATGATTGTTTTGTAAAATGATTTTCAAAACAATGATTGTTTTTTAGTTTTAAAAACTGAAAAATGGAAACAACCTACGGATGTTCTGGTTAGCAGTTTTCTGCTTTTTTTGTTTTCACGGTGGCATGCTTGTAAATATCACAATTCATTAATGGCAATTTCGTAAATACGAAGACTAAAAACAAATGCTTTACGGTGGCATTTTTGTAATTCTGAAATTTCATTAATGGCATTTTGGTAAATAACTACAAGTTCTTTATAACTTTTATTTAACAACATTCAAACAAGTTTTTTTGTTTTTCTACTCTCAAAATCAGTTTTTAAAATTCATATTCAAAATAGTTTTTGAAAACAAAAAAACAAAAACACTTTCAAACACACCCTTAAGCTTTACTTCTCGCAGTTTTTTTTTTCCTTCTCTTTTTTGCTTGTTTATGATCGATCACTTTGCTCAAGAAATTATATCATAATTAAAAAAGAAATAAGATCATTTTAAGATCTATGTATAAATATCTGTTTTGCAGTCAGATGCAATGAATGGTCATTTGTGGTTCACTGGTTCTGTAATATTGCATTTCCAACATTAAAAACCAATGCTTATTTTATATTTTATTCTCCTTATAGGTCAGCTACAATATTATGATCAATGTATATGGTAATGCTGGAGTTCATCATGAAGCAGAGAAACTTTTCCATGCCATGCAAAGACAAGGTTGTCTGCCTGACTCTTTCACATATCTTTCCCTTGTCCAAGCATATACGGAGAGCCGGAATTACCCTAAAGCTGAGGAGACCATACATGCCATGCAGAGCAAAGGCATTCCACCATCTTGTGCCCATTTTAATATTTTACTCTCAGCATTTGCAAAAGTAGGGCTGATTGATGAAGCCAAGAGGGTTTATGAGGAGCTATCGAAGTTTGGTTTAATTCCTGATCTCATATGTCACCGAACAATGCTGAAAGGTTACCTCAAATATGGATGCGTGGAAGAAGGAATCAACTTCTTCGAAAGCATATGCAAGTCAACAAAAGAAGACATGTTCATCATGAGTGCAGCTGTGCATTTTTACAAATCTGCGGGGAAGGAAAGCAAAGCTAAAGAAATATTGAGTTCAATGAACAACATGAGGATCCCATTCCTTAGGAATCTTGAAGTTGGATCAGGGGAGAGAGTGCAAATTCCTTGAGATATAAACTACTTGGGAAATACTCATTTGCTTGAGAAACAATGTGATGACGGAAAAGCGTTGGTTATGATCAACCTTGTAATGGTGATGGTGGAAGCCTGATGATGGCTGCATATATGTTTTCTGACCCTTGGTTCAAGAATGTTCTTTTGTCGGTGATGATGAGGACCTGATCCACCTTTGCTGCAGTGTATAACAGTCAATTAAGTTGGATATGACAAAAAATCTCTATTCTTGTTCCACCTACTAAAGGAAAGCGAACCAAGTACAACATTTGCAACTATCAAAGGACCTGGCATACTGATAGCATGACTGCACTGTATTGTGAAGGTATTTATGGTGACAACGTTATGAGTTCATGACTGACTGGCCCCAGCTTTTGTTTTCACAATCTGGCCGGGCTGAACCGAAAAAGGTACAAGACTACTCCCAATACTGGAAGCTTAATATTTTGGTTTACATGATGTAAAGAATTGTATATGAATTTAACTTCAGGAATGAAATTTATTCTTTCTCTAAATTGGGTGGGCATTGCGGATGTAGCATAAAAACTGAGATCTCAGTGACACAGACTTTATATTCTACACGGGGATCTGATATTTTTTTATGGCAGGATCTTAAAATAAATATTGAAGTTACAAATTTTATTAAGATCAATTGAAATGATTAATTATTTACAAACATTTTTTAGGAAAAGACTAATTATTAGTACTTATAATCTTTTATTATTATCCGCCACTGATGTAAACATACTAATGCATGAATTTGAGAAAAGAACTTCGATGGCCGAAACTAAGGTGCTAAAGAGCAGTTGTTAAGATGCCACTTCCCCCTCTAAAATGGCTGCCTGTCATTTGCGCGATTTTATGAGCAGATGTTCCACTTAATTATAATATTTACTATGGTAGATATTATAATTAATTCAACTTGGCCAAGGGAACTTAATTTGTAAAGCACAATTTTCTTAGCAGCAATGGACGATTTTAAGTTCAATTATATTATGAATGATACCTACAAATATCTCGACAATGTTATCCAAGAGGGCGTAGTGTTTCCTGTTTCCACATTAGTTCATTCCGTTGCAATTACCCGAATAATTCTGAACTTAGCAATAACAGAGTGGGACCCCTTTGAAACTCCTTATGGCTAAGAAAACCCATAATTGCTCCCTCAGGTGATCCAGATTCCAGGGTAAAATTAAACATTAAAAATAACCAAAACATTTCACTTCAGTCCTTAATAGCTATCAGTGTACATAGTTTGTGATACAACTGACAACTGAGACCATAAGCATCGTCGTATGAAGAAACAAAGCCCTACTTATGAGACCAAGACTAAACGGGAACCACACAGCAATAGACCATACGAGTATGCAGAGACACGGACAGCAGATGTAACTCCTCACATTTAAGCTTTACTGTCAATAGCCATTGGCACAGGCTCCTTTTCTGCTGCTGGAGTTCTTGTTTGTTCTAGTTTGTTCATTTTTGCAAATATGCTGCCGTAAAACTGTGCGTCCTTCTTGTTGTATTCTCGCACTTTTTCCTTCAAAATTTTATACTCGATCTTCACATCCCTAAAACATCCATCCGGCGGAGGTTAATGCAAACATAAATATAAAATAAAAATAAAAAAAGTAAAATTGAACGGAACAGGACAGTTTCGTCAGCTTGTCCCTTTGAAACAAATTATATAACTTCCTATGCAAGTTAACGATCATGTACAAGACCAAGAGCATTACCTATTATCTGGTTCAATCTCAAGGGCTTTCTTAATATCCATCTCAGCTAGATCCAAGTCCACAAGATGAATATATGCCTGCGCTCTCCGGTATAGTGCTTTTACATTCCTACTATCAAGCTCCAACACCTATATGGTACAAACAACAAAATCCTGGGCATGTTAGTGATTTTCACTCCATGAATTCAGCTAAGGAAAGAGGACAAACAAAGATATGCAGAATAAGATATTTCATAAAGTAACCTTTGTGCACAACTTCTCAGCCTGTTTGTAGTCCTTGAGTTTTAACTTACAGGCTGCATTATTGAGATTGCATGTTATTTTCAATGCTTTGGTCTGTTGTTTCTCCTCATCACTTAAGGAGGAATCATACTCGATAAATCTTATGGCCTGTCACCCAGAGAAGAAGAAGAATGTCAGTTCATTCTTACGTGTCACCAGCCAAGCAACTTTACAAGACATTATGGCTTTTGCAGGGATACCTTTTCATATCTATTTGATGCTCTTTCATATTTACCAGCCTTGAACAATGCATTTCCTTCTTCCTTTTTCTTCCCAGCTGCCTCAATCTTCTCTTGCGTATTAAGGTCCCACGATTCCTTTTCCTGTAACCCACTTCTCAGTAATTAAGTATATCTTACAAATTTGTTAAAACCAAGAAACATTCGGAAAGTGAAGACAATATTCTCTCACCTTTACAAAGGAAAGCAGCTCAACTTCATAGTACACAGTGGTATTGGGAGGAATAGTAGCCAATTCCTGTGTGGACCCATTTGGTCCGAAAGCATATTCAGGATGTATGATCACCAATGCAATTTCCCCTTTCTTCATGTTCTTCACAGCTCTATCGAGTCCATCTATTACTTGCTCGACATGGTGCAGCCCACATACAACTTAGTATCATTTGGAAGAAGAGAAGGAAACAAAAACAGGGGAAGGGGGAGGGGATAAAAGTTGAAACAATTGTTCAAGGTACCTTCATCAATTTTGAACTCAAATGGCTGTTCATCATCGTAACCCTTCTTGAGGAAGACAGTCCCATCTTGCAGCTTGCCAATAAGTTTCACTGAAACAATGGAAAGAATGCAACTATTCAACACTCCCATCCAAATGTAAAACACGGAAATGAAGAGAGCAAGAGTACGATTTGAAAAGCTTTAATAAGTAAAGGCTGCAAAACTTTACCTTGAACCACAGCTCCATCATTTGGTCGTTCATATCCCTCTCCTTCCTTCAAAGTCTTCTTGAGAACCTTCCTATCCTTGGTAATATCAGACACGGTCTTCCACGAGACTAATTCAAGATCTATTTGGAGCGAAGCATTTGGAGGAACAGCACCTTCACCTCCTGATGCTGGCCTTCCACTGACACCAAATGCATCTACAAAACTTAAAAATGTCAATAGCTTGCACACAAAACAAGCGTATATTTAAAATTCTGATAACAAGAATCTGACTCACATTGTGGCTTCACGGTCAAGAGAACTTTCTCTCCCTTCTTCATTGTTTTCACTGCCTTGGCCAAAGCAGGACAGAAATACCCTGTATGAAAGAAATGTCATATTATAGTTACTTGCAAATCAGAATCCAACTACATCATAAAGGCAAAACGTTGGAAGCATGGAACTGACCCTCTTCCACAGTGAACTCCACCCCATCAGATTTTGAAATGACTTTCCCGTCTTCAAGCCGAGCTACATACTTAACTGCATAAAAGAGAAAAAGAAGGAGAATTTGAGCCAATAATGTACAATGCTGCCAATCAAGTGAATCTCAAAGACTATAATAATAAGACTGAGTTCAGTACCAAACACTTCATCGAGGTCCTTAGGATTCTCCCATTTTTCCCCTTCAGTAATTATCGTCTTAAGTATTCCTCCATCCTTGCATATGTCCTTTACACTTGTCCAAGACAGCAACTCCACATCAAACTGTAGAGTTGCATTTGGGGGAATGGTGGGAGGAGACCCAGACTCTCCATAAGCCAACTCTGGGGGTATTGTGAAAATGGCATTTTCACCCTTCTTCATGGTTTTGATGCCTTCATCCCATCCCTTAATCACTTGCCCTGCATTAAACAAACAAGAGACGAACATTAATAAAATTTTCGTAATCAACTGCAACTAACCGAATAAATTGAGAATAAATCCTCTAATGTTAAAAATTCATATGATTTGATCATATAAATTTAATGTCTAACTCTTCTTCATTAATAATAATTGAATCTCAGCTCTTTAATGCATAAAAAAAATAGGAACAAAAATTTCACAGGATCGTAAAATTTTAACATCCCGAAGAAATTACACCATATACATAATAATATACAGCCTCTAAATTTATTTTTTCACGAAATAAGGAATCAAAATAATAAACTACTAGATCCCAATATTTTATAATTTGTATTTTGTATCCTATCCGAAATCAACCTGATTTTTTTTTTTTTTAATATTTATCATTTCACACCCCTAAAATAACCAAAACACAAAAATATTAATCAGGAACCATTGAATGAATGTATGTACCTTGGCCAAGCTTGAACTTGAAAGGTGTGTTCCTGTCACGGCTAGAATCAAATTGAGTTCCATCGAGCAAGGTTCCAGTATAATGCACTGCAAGAAAGGAAATAAACACAAACACACACAATTATACTGCTCCGTCAATTTCCAAATCCAATTCCGTATGATTGATAGATCATGCAATCCACAGAGAACGAAGAAAAGGACATGGTGATGAACAGTGTATCACATTTACGAAGGAGGAAGATATTAAGAATGGCATTACCTTCAACTTCGTCTCCAGTGTTAGGTGTTTCCCATCCTTCACCCTCCTTGACCAGCTTCTTTTTGAGTCCATTCTTCCCAATCTCCTTCTCCTCCCCAACCTTGAGAATCGGGCTCTCTATCTCATCCTCTTCCTCCTCCATGTTACCCTCAGTTGGGAACTCGAAATCCTCCTCCATCGCCACAGATGTCGAAAGAATAATGCGGATGAAACAACTTCGAATTCAGAACTCAGAAATCACACAGTGAAAGAGAATGGCTACATGTGTATGTATATATAGGAGTGAGTGAGTGAGTGAAAGATGAGTGTGTCTCTAGAGAGTTCCGTAATTCAAAGCTGTCCCGATGGTTCCAGAATCACCTCACTCCATTTTATTCACTTTTATTATTATTATTTTATTATGGTTTTCATTATAAATATCACGATGATGTTGTTGTATGTGGTTGGTTATGTTATGCATAAAAAACATAATTGTAAGCACAAACTTCTTCAAATTTCGAGACCCGACGCAACAGCGGTTGTTCGTTATTTGTCACTCCTTTTGCGGAATGTAACTGAGGTTGAACAATTCTTTGGATCCCACTTATAACGCTAACAAAAATTTATCATTATTACTTTTTAAAAAATGGGGATAGTACCTTATTCTTATTATTATTTTTTTGGCTCGTCTTGTTATGTTTTATTTTATTCTGTTAAAGATTAATGGTGGGCTCCACTAATTTCTATATCAGTAACATTGTAACATCCCGGATGCTGACGAGGGCGGGGAGTGATCGCCGCTGCGAAATGGCATGGACAAGGAGCGGCTCCTGGCAGGCTTCCAGCGACGGGTACATGAATGAATCGAATCAATACCCGAAAGAGAGGAATTTCAGAGACTGTGCAGGTATGAGACTGCACAGTTTGAGATAGGTTATAAGAATTAATTGGTACTACCTATACTAACAAGATGCATCTGCTTTTTGGTAGCCCGGAACAGAAGAACTCTACAGTTAAACGTGCTTGACTTGGAGTAATTCTGGGATGGGTGACCTCCTGGTAAGTTTTTCCGGAAAATGTGCGAGTGAGAGAAAAGCACACTGAAAAGTCTCGTGTTAGTATGTGGAGGCTTCCAACGACGGAGTACATGAATGAATCGAATCAACACCCGAAAGAGAGGGATTCCAGAGACTGTGCAGATATGATACTGTACAGTTTGGGATAGGTTATAAGAATTAATTGGTACTACCTATACTAACAAGATGCATCTGCTTTTCGGTAGCCCAGAACGGAAGAATTCCACAGTTAAGCGTGCTTGACTTGGAGTAATTCTGGGAACGGTGACCTCCTGGGAAGTTTTCCCGAGAAGTGTGCGAGTGAGAAAAAACACACTGAAAAGTCTCGTATCACTATGTGGGGATAGTCATTGATTCTTTAAGCGGTCGGGCGTTACAAACATGACCTTGCTAATTTCCTGTGACATGACGTACTTAAAACCCAATTTTTTATGGTTATTCTACTTATTTATCTCCATCATTATTATATCATAATTTCAACTATTTTTGATTTTGTTTTTAAGATTATGATCTAATGATATAAAAAAAAGAAAGATAGAGTAAACATTAAGAAAATAGACATAATATTCTATTCAAAAAAATATATTCATATTTTGACTACTTTACCTATTCTTTTCCAATAATTTTTTTTTAAAGTCTGGTTGCAAGGTCGGAATCGCTAGTAATTGCCGGTCAACCATATGGTGGTGAATTCGTTCCGAGCCTTTAATCTCCTACAACAGTTTGTCTTGGACTAGATCTGGAACTATCCTCAGCGGTTTGTGTAGCCTTGAATCCTATCATTAAATTAGAATCTCATATAATTTTTGTCATTTTTCTCATTCTTAAAATTCTGATATAGTAATGTCTAAAAGAAATAAGTAGAGTAGGTATGAAAAAATGTAGTCATAAATATCCTTTTCCTTAATTCATTTTTAATTATTTGTATTTGCATTTTTATGACACGTAAGCTTGTGTTGGATATACCTACCCAGTCGCATTCGTCGGGCTTTTTGTTTGGACTGGGCCGGCCCAAAGTCTGATCATAAGATATTGAATTTTACAGGAGTAGATTCTCTCATGTGAAAAAATGTTCATGTGGTCATGTTATTTGATCACAACCACTCATTGATGATGAGATAAGAGAGAGAAAAATGTATAATTTTTAAATGAGTGGTTGTGACCAAATAATATGATCACATGATCACTTTTTCACATAAGAGAATCCATTCCCAAATTTTACTTGGGCCTGTTCCTTCCTTGTGTTGTAGTCTTGTATACATGGGTTTGTTTAGGGACTGTTCTAACCCGAATAATGTATCTTATTAAATTCTAACCCAACCCATGTTATTAAAGAGACGAATTTCAAGGATGGGATTGTTCACTTGGGTCCAATCTTCCTTATCGGATTCTATACCTAATGGATATTTCTATTTCTACCTAAATTAAAATAAAAGCTTAGTCCATAAATCTAATCAATCCTGTCTAAATAATATTGTGTTAATATTGGGACCCAAATTAATATGGACCTGAATCAACCAAAAAAAATGCAGAACATAATGTAATCAATCACATCTCAGCTTTTCATTGCTACTTGGGTCTCAATAAATGCATATTTAAATTACATTATTTGAGAAAATAATTGTATTTTTTTACAGATTTTTGAAAAAAAATTACTTTAAAAAGTTCTTTTTTTTACAAAATAAAACTTTTATAAATATGTACTAAATTAGAGATATACTTAAAAGACTGATTTCGTAACATGTTAATTTTTAGATAACCAATTTAAGAGTTTGTCCATATATGTTTTACTACCGGTAATAAAACATTTGAAAATGAATTAGTGGAAAAAGCTGAAAATTAATACAATTTGGACAGTCACAAATAAATAGAATTAAGAATTAACTATTAATTATTAGTTACTATCTAATATAAATTTCTTAAAAAGAAAAATACTTTCTAAAGTAAATATCAACCCAAGGTTACCCAACAAAAAAAATATCAACCCAATATATTATTGACTATTCACTATCAGATATGAAAGAAATACAAAACGTTCAGTGGCTTACATTAATTGCATTAATGATTAAAGTTTAAAATATTAATTGTCAAAACAATGATGTCATATTATGAATATTTCTGCATGTTTATTCTTCCTCTACTGGGATAATTATATATGTAAATAAGGACTCTAGGTCCATTACAAATTAGTTGTCAATCAGCTATGAATAAGGAAATGAAATAACCTCTTACTATTTCTATTTAATACAAAACTTCTATGATTATGTCAATCAACTGCAAATAAGAAAATTAATCTATTTAATACAAATCTCCTATGATTATGTAATTGTGTAATCAATGATTAAAATTCCAACAACTGTACAACTCAATAAATATTATTTCATCTCAACATTAATTAAAATGATTTAAAAATGACATTAGTATATTTAAAATTTTAAGAAAAGAGTGTTTAAAATTAATAAGAAAAGTTATCAAAATATAATTAAAATTTATTTACAAAACTAATAACAAAAATTATATTGGTTTTCCTTGTGTTAAATAAAGTCGCACAACATGTTATAGTCGAGTTATGTAGATATTAGATTATGCACACAAATCCAAATAAATACTATCACACACACACAACAAATCGAGTTATGTAATTATCATTTTATCATGAGTTTTGTTTTGTTTATACTTTACAAGATTACATGTATAATTTCATTAATTTAATTTGCATTTAAAATAAGGAAAATATGTTTATCATGTTTTTGTTTTTATCTCATTTTATGGAGTATAAAAAGATATTTTATCTCATGCAATATAAATAAAGTGAATATGATTCGCTTGTTTTCTTTTTTTCTCTTTTTTTTGGTGAGCCTCGTACACTTTTTTATATACTGCACGAGAAAAATTATCTCATGCAAAGTGAGAAACTATATCCTCTTAAAATAATTATCTCTTTCGTAGCAATTTAATTATAATCTTCCGTTATAGATTATAGAGTGAGGATATTCTAACTATTAAAAATTCTTACTACTAACTTACTACCTATCACATCACCATTGGATCAAAGAGAGAATGTTAAAAAGTTTTTTGAAGAGAGAGAAAATATTAATCTGATGGTGATTAAATAGGTAGTAAGTTGATAGTGAAATTTTTTGATAGTATTCCTCCCCTAGGATATATGATATTGTTATGTTTGTAGTGAAAGTATTTTAGAAAAATTCATTCACATCTGAATTGTTTACGTATCACTTCTTAATAAAGTGAAAGTGTTACAATTTATTTTACATTCAAAATAATTTTACAATTAAAATCTCAGTCAAAACAAACTAATTTAACTATGCATTAAATTTTTATTACTTACATAAAATATTCAAAATTATAAATTTTAAAATAACATGTGCAATGTATAGAAGTGATATCATCAACCAATTAATGTATACAAATAAAATTTCGATCAACCAATTAAATTAATTACTATGCCAAATTTGTTAAAGAATACTTGTAGGTAGTGAAATATTGAAATTCATAACTATCAACGATACACGTACGATTCAGAAGTTCAGCAATATGTATCATGAGGTGTATCAGAAAGGGATTTATATCGAATGATACTATACTGAAATGCATAGCTATCAGTTTCTTACAATACACGATACGATTCATACGATACGATACGATTTACAAGTCCAGTGATATGTTCATGAGGTATATCAGAAAGAGATTTGTATCGTCTGATACTACACTGTATCTTACGATACGATACGTGTACCATATGATACAAAAATTAAATCAAAATCTGTAATCTTTAATTAAAAAAAAAAGAAATAATGATTTGATTTACAATTTAAATAAAAAACCTAAAAGGATCCATTTTGAAAGATGATGATAGATTAGGTACGTCCTGATAGTAATAAAAGTGATAATATTAGTCTTAATAAATAACGAATAAGATAATAACTGGTTTATACTTTAATTACTTTTGTATTTTATTTATTGGATTTTTTGGAATTTGAATTTATATGATATTAATTTTATTATATATTTTTAAATTATTTTTATTATATGTCTATATCTTACTATTCATGACACACTATACAAAAAATCGGTTAGACGATACACAAATCCATATTGCGATTCAACAACCTCACTTAAATGGTTAAAAATTTAAAGTAAAAGTATTAATTAAGGGGCAGGATATACTTGCAACCAAAAAAGTTTACCACCTTTACAACCAATCTAATCATAGTTGATTTTCGTCAATTAATAATTATTATTTATTGAAATTAATAATTAAATTAATAAATGCGACCCAATAATTTCTAATAAATGATAATCGTTAGATTAACGAAAATTAACAGTGATTAAGTCACTGTTTGGATCCTCTCTTTTTTAAGCTAGAAGCTACTTATAAGCATAAGCTAGGCCAAACAGGTTTTGGGAAAAGCTCTTATAATGAAAAACTCTTTTTTCTATAATGAAGAAAAAAGCTGAAAATTAAAAGCTCCTCCCTAAGAGCTTTTTTTAAGCACTTATCTGATTTTCTTGAATTGTGTGCTTTTTTTAAATGAAGAGTGATAAAGATAGAGAGAGATAATTTTCTTGAAATATGTGTTTTAAGTAAAGTTTAAGCTAAAATTTTCATGTAATTTCCAAACAGCTTTTAGCTTCTTTTTTTAAGTTCTTTTTTTGAGCTTTAGCTCATAAGTAGCTTCTAGCTTAAAAATAAGAGAATACAAACATGCTCTAAGTTGACTGTAAAAATTGTAAATTTTTTTTGATGGTAAATATATTCTTTGGTCCTTAATAAATATTAAAATATTAACGCTTAGGAAGACGTGTAATCTTTCAATTAATATAAGATAATGTTACATTGAAGAAGATAGAAAGAAACTTGAATAAACCAAAAAAATAAAAAAGTATACAATAAAATAAATAAAAAGGAAGGAAGAAGGTAACAAGACCAGCAACCACGACTGCGGTGACGGTGGCGCAGCGGCAAAACCATTTGCCGCTGAAAGAGAGAACCAACAAACCCCCATTCAATTCAATTCAATTCTTTCTGAATTGGGGTGGCAATGTCGGAGGTGGCGAACATCGATGCGGAAGGCGTCGACGGAGTCCGCATGACATGGAACCTATGGCCACGCACCAAGGTAGAAGCCAGCAAGTGCGTGATCCCACTCGCCGCCACCATCTCCCTCATCCGCCCCCACCCTGACATCCCTACGCTCCCCTACGCGCCACTCCGATGCAAGACATGTTCCTCCATTCTGAACCCTTTCTCCCGCGTCGACTTCACCGCCAAGATCTGGATCTGCCCTTTGTGCTACAACCGCAACCATTTTCCCCCTCACTACTCCCAAATCTCCGAAACCAATCTCCCCGGCGAACTCTTTTCCCATTACACCACCGTCCAATACATCCTCCAAAACCCTAACGTGGCTCCGTCAATTCAATCTCCGGTTTTCCTCTTCCTCCTTGATACCTGCATGATCCATGAGGAGATGGAGTTTGTTAAATCCGCGCTACGCCAAGCGATCGAGCTCCTTCCCGATAATGCCTTCGTGGGGTTCGTGTCTTTCGGGACGCAGGTTCACGTCCACGAATTGGGGTTCTCTGAGATGTCTAAGGTTTATGTGTTTCGGGGGACTAAGGAGATTCCTAAAGACCAGATTTTGGAGCAATTGGGCCTCAGCGGCGCTTCTGCCCGGAGACCGTATCAGAAGGGGTTGCAGGGTGGTGATGGTGGTGGTGGTGTCACGAGGTTCTTGCTGCCTGCTTCTGAATGTGAATACACTCTAAATTCGGTGGGTTTTGTTGTGAATGTTGAAGAGTTTGTTGTCTTATGCCGTGCGGCATTGATTCTTGACTCTCGTGTGTTTGTGTATGTGTATATATGTGTGTTTTTGCAGTTATTGGATGAATTGCAAACAGACCAGTGGCTTGTTCCGCCGGGCAGTCGTCCGACTCGGTGCACCGGAGTGGCATTGAGTGTTGCAGCCGGGTTGCTTGGTGCTTGTAATCCTGGGACTGGTGCTAGAATCATTGCTTTGGTTGGGGGTCCATGCACAGAAGGACCGGGCACGGTAAATTTGTTCTTCGGTTCTTTGCAGTATTTTTTATGTTGATGAATGTTGTGATTAGGCAAGTGCACCGGTCGTTAAGGTTGGTAAAAAAAAAGAATCAAATCGCACCATCATAAAGTATACCAGAGTACGAGATCGTTCCCACAAGGATTGGTTTCAAACACTAGTTCACTAAACGCGGCTTAGTTGGACAATCAAGATTGAGATGAAGAGAATTTAAATTAAAAACAATCAATAACATGTAAATTCAAAATTAAAAAGCAATTAAAAAGATGATTGGTTTAAAAATAAAGAACAAGCGTAGTTAGGGTTTCAACTTCTCCTAATTTCCTCTCTATGCTATGAATTAAACAGTCAAGAATTTGCTCTTAATATAATGTCAATCAATTCTTTCCATAGTTGTCAATAGCAGTTAGCGGCCGGTAGCGGCCGACCCCAAAAATGGTATAGCGGTGTAGCGGGTAGCGGTATTGCCGCTACGGTGAAGTATTAACAGAATAGTCTTAACTAATATAAATGCTCAACTATCAGTCCACCCATGCTCTAGTTATATATGTCATGCATATTGTTTTGTGTACTTATTGTATATTATATTGTGTGGCTGTTTGTATGTAGGCCTAACCGTGGCATACGCATAGCACAAGCTGCACAACAATATATTACAAGCTGGAAAAAAAAGGGAAGGAAGGGACTTGCAATAGCAAATTTGAACGTAAAAGGGAATAAGTAAAAATAAAAGAAAGAATAAGTAAAAAAGTTTACCCAGAAAAATAATACAAGAAAGAAAGTTTACCAAAAAAAAAAAAAAATACAAGCAAGAAAAAGTAAAAATAAAACCAGAAGTACCCAAAAAAAAAAAATAAGCAAAAAAGAATAAGTAAAAATAAAACTAGAAGTACCCAAAAAAAAAAAGCAAAAAAGAATAAGTAAAAAAGAAAAAGAAAGAAGAAGCCTCCATCAAAGAAGAAGAATGGGTAGTGAAGATAAAAGAAAGAGTGAAGAGTGGAAGGAGGAAGAAACAAAGAAGCCTCAAAATGTTGAGAACTTAATGGAAAATAGAAGCTCTCTTGCCGGAGAAGAGTGGAAGAAGGAAGGAACGGAAAAAAAAACACCTTGGCTGTCTACTGCAACTCCATCGTTCTCCTTTGGTGCCACACTGCCACGTTTTCTTTCTTCTTTCCCGCGTGTAATGTGGTGGTAATGGGTCCTTTATTTGTGACTTAATAATAAACTTTTTCTCTTGACAAAAATACCCCCACTGCAAAGGAAAACGACGCCGTTTTGTTTGAAGCAGCAAATTAAACAAAAAAAGGTCTTCTCTTTCCCTTTTTCCCGTAGCGTCCTGTAGCGTCTTCTTCTCCGGCCTGTGAGAACTGCTACGCTACGCCGCCACCTCCGCTACCGGCCGGCGTCGCGTCGCGTCGCAGGTTGTGGCGGCCGGCCGCCGCTACCCGCTACTGTAGCGGTTTAGCGCCGCTACTCACCGCTATTGACAACTATGATTCTTTCTAAGTTAATTAGGGCTCAATTCCTTGTTACCCTTAATCTATGTGATCTTAGAAGAACCCTAGTTCCCCGGTTATTTCCCAAGAAAACATGTATTAAGATCAAGAATTCAAAGATTGCACAACTACCCTATGTCTATCCCTAGATCACAAGGATTATGATGAATTTATCAAATCAGGGTTCATGCACCAACATCCCTATTGTCATACAATTCCCCTAAATCAATCTATAAGGAGCAAACTCATAGAAAGCATTAAAAACAGATAAATTCATTCAAATATAAAAAGAGAAGAATTTAATTCATTCAGAGACAATTTAATTCATAACACAAGATTCAATTGCGTTCCATCTATCCCTAACTACATAAAAACTTAGCCTAGCATATTAAAATTAAAAACAATAGGAAAGAAAATAATTCCCTAAGACTCCATTGGTGTGATGTCGTCTTGAATCTTCAGTGTTCCAATGCTCTGCAACAGGATTCCTCTCTTGATTCTTCCAACGTTCTCTAAAATCTCCCTCAATTGATCCCAAGACCCTTTATTTATAGAGGAGAAACATATATTTTAATTTCTATTCACATCTCCATGAAATCTTCGTTCGTATCTTAATTTGGACCCTGATGATAAGTGGGCTTGAACTTTGACGCATCAGCGCGTTTTAGCGCTCATTAGAGCGCTAAAACGCTCTTGAAGAATAATTTTGTCTACCTCAGAGCGTTTTAACGCTCAGGAGAGCGCTAAAACGCTCTCTTTGAGAGGAAATTTGTGATTGTCAGCCCGCTGTTGGGCGCTAAAACGCACTCCTCCAGTGGAATTTTTCCATTTTTCTTTATTAGAGTGTTTTAACGCTCTGTTGAGCGCTAAAACGCTCTTCCTCAGCCACTGAATTGCTTCATATCTTGCTTCCTTTGGACTTTTCTCTGGTATTGCAACATCTCTTTTCATTCCCTTGCTCTACAAAGCATCAATTTATGTCAAAATTCCTTTGAAATAAGAAAGATTACAAGATGTTAGCTAGAAATCCCATCTTTATGATTTTATAGTGTAAAACCCTAATTTCCATGCAATCCTTGATGTAATTCTTATATAAATTAGCTTAAAAACATAGTAAACCAAGGGTTTATCAATGAAATATTAGTTTCTGTTAGGAAGGAATATTCATCAAATTTTAACGTTAGGCATATGTGGCCATTGGAGACTGACGATCATTTAAACAGCAAATGGTCAGGCATTTTGGGTTTCATACTCGAAATTAGATTATGGTGCAAGAAGTTTAAACATTTTTGTATGGTCACTTGTGTTGAGATGGTTTTGTAGTGAATGGCAATACTACGACTCGGCAAATCTTTGAGTGTAGAGATATTTGGAGGGATATTAAACTGCTTTTATTAGTTATTTAAAAGAGGTAACTGTGCTGCCATTATTAGGATAAATCAGTTGTTAGTTGTAAGACTCGATTTCTTCTGTGCCATTGGCATTTTGGAGAGACACCCTAGCTCTTTATTTTAATCGTGACTTGAAGCACAAAAGACCATGTGATAAAATTAGAATAAGTAGAAGGGAGGTAATGGCAATGCTGTGCTTGTTCTTGCTTATATTGACAGTTCCTGAATCCATCTATACTTCTATAGAAATTTTTTTTGCATGAGATATTGATTTTAAAATTTCTTTGCAGATTGTGTCAAAGGATCTATCTGACCCAGTGCGCTCTCATAAAGATCTTGACAAAGATGCAGCACCATACTTCAAGAAAGCAATCAAATTTTATGAGGGTCTTGCGAAACAGCTGGTTAGCCAGGGTCACGTATTAGATCTTTTTGCATCAGCGCTTGATCAGGTATGTGTCAGCATGCAAATTTTTTAATACAATTATTTCACTGATAACATTACTGGCATAATGATTGTCGACAACTTTCATCTGCTTGAGATGATAAGCTCATGTTATTTCAGTCTTCATTTTTACCATGGATTTTCTTCAAAATATACAAGAAAGTTCTTGTTTATATTATGCAGTGGGAATCCTTGGAATAGAGTTGGTGTTGCTATCATAATGTTGCATTTCATGACAATTAGGACCAAGTTGTGCTCATTCTTTGTTTTCTGCTGTTTCATGGATGTTTTGAATCTCTAGGTTGGAGTTGCAGAAATGAAAGTTGCAGTTGAAAAAACTGGAGGCCTTGTTGTCCTGTCTGAGAGTTTTGGTCATTCAGTCTTCAAGGACTCTTTTAAGCGTGTTTTTGAGGATGGGGAGCAATCTCTCGGTCTTTGTTTCAAGTGGGTCTTCATTTCAATTTTTTTAAATGATACTTGGTTTTTTAAATTCAATTCTGATGCGCTGTATAATTATTTATTTTGGCCTTTCCTATTCTCTTTCCCCTGCACCACCACTTGAGTATGATTCACAGCTGGTGCCAGAAATTTCCTGTTGGGAAATGTTGAAGTGCTGGGTTCTTAGTTCATTGTTCTTTAGCATAAAATCTGTATCTACAGAGTGTTTTGTGTGTGTGCCTTTTAAGTAGTTATTTTTTATTTTATTAGAAACTTGTAACATTGTAGAAGATCGAGGATACTGATACTACGGAGGGAACAATAAATTTTCTGTAGATGACTCAGATAATGGACTAGTGAGTCATGAAAGAAATAAGAAGAGAAAGGGCGGAAAGTAGAGGAATTAGATAATTATATAATTTACTAAGGACCTGTTTGTTTGTGCTTTTTTTTTTAATAAAAAACATTTTTTCAAATAAAAACATTTCAAAAAATTTATAATAATCAGATTTTTTTTTTTTTTTTTTGAAAATAAAAATCCCAGAAAAGTGCTTCTATCAGAAGACAAAAATCCAAAATAGAAGGGAAGCCATAGAACAATGGTTAGGGTTGTCGCAATGTGATCCGGAAGTCACAGGTTCTATTCATGTAATCACTCCAGGGTATGGCTGCCTATTGTATACCCATCCCCGAACCCTGTCCAAAGCTGGGGCTTTATAGTACTAGATTGCCTTTTCAGCTTCTGGAAAAAAGCTCTAAAAAAGTTATATCATTAAAGTACATTTTTTAAAGCTTATCCAAATGCACCCCACAAGAGGGCCGGGCAAATAAATATTTAGTTTTGTCTAATAATCCATGTATGGGGGATCTAGGGTTTAAGCTGCTTTTTTAGAAATGTTTTAATTAATTCATTTGGTGGAAACTTTAGGTTTGGAAAGACTTTGGGTTTTCTATATGAATGTCAATTGCCTGAAATTTAGAGTTTTATTTTCCTAGACTTAAAATAAAATTGGTTTTTGTGTATTCATAGATCATTATTGAGTTGATCATCTTTCAGTTTGGGGTGCTGATAAAATTATTTTCTCTTTGGTTCTTTTACATTTTCATTTCTTCTCTCTCCTCTTTTGTTTCTTATCTTGCCCTTATTACCTAACAAACATGCTCAACCTACCAACTTAATTTATGTAACAGTGGAACCCTTGAGATCAATTGCTCCAAGGAAATCAAAATTCAGGGTATAATTGGTCCCTGCACATCATTGGAAAAGGTTTGTTTTGGATCATTTTATTTCAAATAATTTCCTGTTGCGTGTCGACACTGGAATTGGATTTTATGTGGTAAACAAAAATAAGACTGAACTAAAAATAATATATCTGGGGTTTGATGGTTTCAATCACGTACTGCAGAAAGGGCCTTCTGTTGCTGATACTGTGATAGGAGAAGGAAACACTACAGCTTGGAAAATGTGTGGCCTTGACAAGAGTACATGCTTGACTGTGATGTTTGATCTTTCATCAAGTGATCGTTCAAACACTCCAGGTGCTGCCAATCCACAGTTGTACCTGCAGTTCCTTACAAGGTTATGTTGGAGAAAATTCATTAGACTAAATATGTACTGTGCTGTGCCTCTTTCCCTTTCATTGCTGGGCACTGAATATAAATGGTCATTTCTTATCGCAGTTACCAGAGCCCAGATGGTCAATCAGTGCTCCGGGTCACAACAGTAACTAGAAGATGGTTAGATGTTGCTGTTAGGTCTGAGGTAGTTTCATTTGTTTGTTTTTAATATTTGTGGCTGGATGTTTGTTTATCTGTCAATGTCAAAGATTTAGTTTTAGCTTCCATTTATCATAATATTAAGACGCTTATATGATATATTTTTTTTTAACTCTATTTCCTTACAACCAATTCTGATTCTAAACTTTGGTATACATCGTTATCTAAAGTTTTTTTTTTTTTAATACAGTAGTTATATAAATATATCTACTTAAAGTTTATTTTTATCACTTTTTTTTCAATCTACCATTTTTTAGGTTCATTTACCACCGACCCCAACTAGTTTGGGATGAATGTGTTGTTGATGCTGAGTAGTTATCTAAACTTTTACCCGCGTGTGTTTATTATGTGCTTCTTGAAACTCCCAATTTTTCTTGAGAATGTAATTGTTAAATTGATTAATGACAAATGTATAATATTCATGTTTGTTCGACTAAATGTGGTATGCCCATTTATGTTGAGTCTTGTATTCAAAGGAAATAATAGTATTGGGCTTTCTTTCATTTTTTTGTCATTGGCGTGCTGCTGCTTTTCTGTCTCCATCAATGCATTCATCATGTAAGAAGAATGCATATGCTAAAATATTGAGTATTTTATCTTCAGGAATTGCTTGTAGGATTCGACCAAGAAACTGCTGCAGTGGTAATGGCTAGACTTGTGTCTCAGAAAATGGAGACAGAGGTATATCACAAGTTGTGTTTTTATTTGTTATTCTCTTCTATTTGGTAAAATGTATCTTACCACTGTTGGATTTATTTGGTCAAGTTGCTGTAAATTTTGTCTTTGTTCAAATGGATGATAGTTGGGAGTTTCAAGAAAACACGTAGTTAGGCAAATAACATTGGTAGTGGTGGTGGTTTTGATGAAATTTGCACTTGTTTGATCGTTTACAGTTTTACTTGTGAGACCAAGTTCTATGTAATGCAATTCACATGTTATTCGCACTGGTATTCCTCAAATATATTATATAACTTCTGGCAAATATTTTCTCAAGTTACAGTATATTCTATCTTTGTTCAAACGGGTGAGTGTTGGGTGTTATAGGAAAATATAAAACGGGGAGAGTGATTGCGCTTATTTTACCTTCTACTAGTGGGATCGAGTACTGATGGAATGGCAATTCACGTTATTTGTTATGTCATCCAAGGTTCTAGTTTTAATTCATTTATTTGGGTTTATTTAATAATTTTAGTGAATGGCTTTTCATATAACTGTGAGCATGTTTACCGTCTTATTTTTCTATGCCCATAACTTCTCTGTTAGTTAGAGCAGCTTATTTCTATTTAGTATTCTTTTGCTAATAACATGCTGGAAATAAGGATTTTGTCATTGCCTTCTTTTTGGACACATATTACCTGTGGAAAGTTTTATTTTTTATGTATCTTTCCGACTTATATTACCAAGTTTCCTTGATGTGCATCTTTTTTTGTTTAATAGGAAGCATTTGATGCCACACGGTGGTTGGACCGATTACTCATTCGCCTCTGCTCTAAATTTGGTGACTACCGCAAGGATGATCCGTCGTCTTTTACATTAAACCCAGTATTTTCATTGTTCCCCCAATTTATGTTCAATCTCCGGAGATCTCAGTTTGTACAGGTATCATTTCTTGTAATTTTCTTGTATTGTTTTGCGAACTTCCTGATTTACCTTTCTGGTATTTTTTGGTGGTGAAAATTATTGGCAGGTTTTTAATAACAGTCCAGATGAGACTGCATACTTCCGCATGTTGTTAAACAGGGAAAATATAAGTAATGCTGCTGTCATGATTCAACCATCTCTAATATCATATTCATTTAATTCACTGCCTGCACCAGCACTGTTAGATGTGGCTTCCATTTCCGTGGACCGGATTCTGTTGCTTGATTCATACTTTAGTGTGGTTATTTTTCATGGAATGACAATAGCCCAATGGCGCAACTTGGGATACCAGAACCGGCCAGAATACCAGGTATGTGCTTGCTGCTTGGACATGACCTACTAAATAAATTATTTTCACGTGCAAATTCTGCATTGATCTTTATCTATTAGTTTGTTTGATATAATCCTTATGATCCTTTCAATGGGAGCATAAGTAGCTTTCTGTCAGTTTATGATGGAAGTTATATTATTCAGAACCATCATTTATAATTAGGAACAAGTGTTGCATTTATAATTGGTCGTTGTCCTTGTTTGCTAAGAGCTTTAATATACGGCACAGGCTTTTGCACAACTATTACAAGCTCCACGGGACGATGCCCAAATCATAATAAGAGACCGTTTTCCTGTTCCTAGATTGGTAGTGTGTGATCAACATGGTTCCCAGGTAATTTATATGTACCGAGAATGTTTCCCTTTCCTGAAATTCATTTGTACCCCCAGCAACTCCTTCGCAGTTTATTAGAAGAGTATTCATTAATTTATCCATTTTGCTTGGTAAGTTTAGATTTTTCTTTATTGGAACCTTAGCTGGGTTTGGTTGATGCTGAACAGGCTAGATTTTTATTAGCAAAGCTGAATCCCTCTGCAACATACAACAATGCGCATGAGATGGCTGCTGGTTCAGATGTAATCTTTACTGATGATGTGAGCCTTCAAGTTTTCTTTGAGCATCTGCAGAGGCTGGCTGTCCAATCCTGATAGTAGTGACCGACACTGTTTGTGTTTTGGACTTTGGTTCGGAGAATTCACCAATGATGTGTCCTACGTTTTGCTGTTCCATTCAGTTAATTTCCTTTCTTTTCCTTGTTGGTAAAGGAGAGCAGATCGGAGCCCATATCAATTGAAAGTTCTGAAACGTTATTCTTTATGCAAGGGTTCGAAAAGTACATTCAGTTTGGATATTGCGGAAAGAAAGGATAATGAAATTTAAGAGCTACAAGTGTAACAGCAGCAAGGCAAATGTCAGAGATAATTTGATCACATTTTTTCCTACTTGTTTTGGGCTAGATCTGAATTTTGGGTTCCTGATCTGGATTAATTTATGTAGTATTACTTTTTATATGATCCCTAGGTTGCAAAGTAATTAAAGCCATTTTGTCTTGTTGAGTTTGATACAAGTCATACTATCTACAATCCTGTGTTGTATATGAAGTTAGCATTATAGGACACATCGTGGTGAAATGAATACTTGATGGCGGATGTTTACTTCCCGTAGCGTCCCCAGTTAGCCTCATAGTGTGAGCCCTCGTTTATTAGAAAGATTGTTTACTGGATGCAGTGCGATAGCTCCTCCTTTTGAGCCATATTTACGTAAACTATTCAGTAATGGGGAAAAAAAGAAGAGGTTCCGATGTTATGTGCTTGAGCGAACAAAAATCCTTCAATTGGAGTGCATAGCACGTTTTTTTAAGTTTTCACAATTTTCTATTGTGAAATGTATGTCATGAAATTCATTGTTATATTGCAACATGTATTATAATAAATTCAATTTTATAATTTTAAATGACCTTTTCAAGATTGCAGATTTTTTTCCTTCGGAGGCAAAGTTATGGTGTCAGTACCACACGAAAACATCAAAGTCCTTCCATCAGTACCACACGTGTGCAGTGTGTTCTAATAAAAAGTGAAGCAAACTCTAGTTTGACATCCATGCTCACGTATTTCCTCAAGTATCATACAACTTTTATTACTCAAATCATAGCCATAGGCCTTCCTCTCAATAGGATCATGCTCCATCAATTCCATTGCTTTCACTCTTACTTTCAAAATCCTTATCCAAGAACTTTATTCGTACTCAGTCAAAACACATATGGTGTCTAAAAAATTAAAATATGGTAATTTGAATGAATAATTACATAAATAATTTCGTTTAAAAAAGTAACTACGAAAATAAGCGCAACTCACAAGTAGTTGTGCCTGTTTAACGATAGGCCTAGTTTAACAAAATACAGAGTACTTTTCTTTTTTGGGCTAAAAGCACTACTTCAACTGCAATGGTAGAAAATTGCTAAAATTCAAATAACTTCCTTCGTTAATGATAGGCCAATGGCGCTCTGCAAAAAAATTCACAACTTCCCTTGATTGAGTGAAAACAACTGCTGCTCTTACAACCTCCATCCAGCATAGCATAAATTAATAGTATATTAGTATGTCCTCCTCCAGAAAAAATCCAAGAAAAGTTGTACAAAAGGAAAAACCGGATTCAACTTCAAAATAGTTAAATAAAATTGGGGAAACATCAGCAGGGAAAAATCTGCATGTGCCTTCACTTTCACCACTGTCCTATTGCAGCCTGAGTTGGAGTCGTGGTCAAAATCTCAAACCAAGCACCCTAATCCATTCTTTCCTTTCCATTGCTTCACTACATACATAACTTCGATTCAAATATGATTTAGGAGGATGATTCACAAAGCAGAAATGGTACCTCCCTAACAAGGAAACATAATGCAATATGTTATCAGAAAACAGCTTCAGCAGATAGTAACATTATGACCAAACCTCATAAATATTAATGCTTGCCTTTCATAGAGAAGGGCAATTAAAAATGGAAAATTCAAGTAAGCAGTCCAAAATGCACTTGACATGTGTTTTTGTTGCAAAAACGGTAAACATATATTCAAATATCAACTAGACATTTCTTTTTTCTTCTTTTTTATATACAATGGTGGGAATTGAACACATAACATAATACAAATTATCCAAACCTCTCACCACTAGACCAATCCCAGTGGCTTTTGTCATTCTAATCTTTAACAATGGCTTTTGGATTGCAGACTCAGAAGCATAGAACAAAAATGAAAAAATAGAAGAAAGACAGGGAGGGAGGAGCTGTTACTAACAAAATCTATATCTCATTGCAATTAGGTAGGGAGAGGTCTGAAGGAGGTAAAATCCATAAGCACGGACAAAGTTGTAATCCCCAAAGTGCCTAAAGCTTCCTGTCAAGACGACTGAAAACCAGAACTTCAAGAGATTATGCTTCCAGATGATGACCCTTGTAAGCTACCAATGATGACTCTGCATTTTCTCTAAACTCTGATATATACTTGTCCAAGAACATCTCCTCAGACAAACAAAACAAATAAACATTACTTGACCTTCTTACATAGATTTTTTTATATTAAGAGCTCTAAAACTCTATACCGAGGAACCACCCTATCCTGGATGCTATACATTAAAATCATAGGCCAATGAATCAAGACCAATTTTGGCAGCATAACTGTATGCAAGAAGAATTCCATTCCAACCTTTAATTTCTTTTCTGATGTTAAACAAACTTGGACATCTTTTGACCATTTGCACACTCTCATCTTTAGAGAACCCAAAACACTGAATTAACTCCAGCTTTCTACTAAATGTTTTATAGCTCAAACTACTTATTGTATGCAGTGCATGGACCAACATTCTTGAATTTTCATTGAAACTCATGTCTACAGCACGCAAAATATGGTTTTTAAGAGTAGACTGTGGTGAAATGAAAAGTCTTGACTGTCGTTTGAGTAACATAGAAAGCTGAGATCCAACAATGCCATAACTCTCTAACAAGGTAACATTGCCAACAAATTTTTGGTACTTTGGGAGTATCCAGCCACATCTGTGCAAAACTTGAATAAAATTATTCTCTTTGTACATAATTTTTCTAATAGCTTCCACAAAGGGGACCAATGCTTTCCTCAAACTAGAAGTCAAAATGGTTGAATTCTTGGAAATAAATTTGCACAACTCAGAACCCTCAAGACCCACTAGCTGAAAGAACGCAATTTTTGGTCTTAGGGTTTTATCAACATCTGAAAACAGTATTTGGGGTTTCTGACGTATAATAGACTGAATCTGGGTTTAAGAAAATCCAATTTGTTTGAAAAAATCCAGCACAGACAAGGTCTTTTGAGGGAAGCTGACCCCTGAAACATGTTTTGAGAAATAGATGAATTGAACTTTTGAAATTGGCATTTAGGTAATCAATGGCCTGGGGTTGATAAAGAACCAGAAGAGAATGGAGAGAGAAAGGATCTGGCAAAGTTAGAAATAAGTGATTCAAAGGAGGATATAAAAGAGCATGGTGTAACTTCAGGGATTGCATTAACTTTCGGAACTAAAATGTTCACTTTTACAAACTTTTGCATCAATATGACATCAAACACACAAGATGGGGTTTTTAGGTTGCCTGTTTTGAATTTGCACCTAACAAAATAGTTTCAAATATTAGCACGAAAGCTTCCCAAATGAACGGTCATTGAGTCAATCACATGCTTACTTCCATGCAGATGAATAACATGTGATTTGACTCTCATTATCTCATGGGAGACATTGAAGAAAACCAAATGCTAATTTAATGAACTAACATGATAGATCAAAATATGACAAATTGTAATACAAAGCTATTGAGAACTTCAAATGCAGAATCAGATATTCAAGAAAAAACATCAACTTATCAAATAAAAACTGTACATAATACAATATAAAAGTTGAGTTGTACTTGTAAACCAAGAAAGACTTCCTTTTACGTGCTTCCAAGATTGTTGAAGACTCACACCACGAATGACAGACATATTAAGCCATTTACATCAGAATATATAGCTATAAATGAAGGGCCAACCAGGTATATATATTCTCATCATATATTCATTTTTTAAAGAAAAAAGCAATTTCATTGGTTATCTATCAAATGCAATAAGAAATTAACAACACCAACATTGTAAATTATTATAAGTATTGACACTATAGAATCACTAGTCATCGTACAATCCCCTCTTTAGAAACATAAATTTTCTTTATACAAACGAGTTACTCAAATCCCAAGGAAAATTGTACATGCAAAGTTGAAGGCTTAATGTTATCTTAATATCTAACACATGCAATGCAACCAGAAAGACAAAGCAATACCCATCCTCTACTCAAAAACAAGACAAACCCAAGAAGAAAGAAAAGGAAAGAGAATTCCTTTAGCTTACCTAGGATTCCTAGTGTCGTCATGACCAATATTTGCCTTGCATAATCTAAGCTTCTCACCCTCCCTCTACAGAAAAAATTAGGACGAAAGTGAATAACTACTTTTTTTGGGGCAAAGATGGATGATAATTTTATATCAACAAATAAAACTCCACCAACCATAGAGTCAATTGGTTTCCATTCAAAATGCATAACATTGAGGATTTCCAAGAGCACCCTCCAAAAATTAGAGGGGCCATAGCACAAGCCACATGAAAATAAAAAATGCAGTATTCAACATAACTTACAATGTAAGCCTTTCCTAATAATATACCTTCAGTTGCTGTCCAGTTTAACTTTCTATTCTTCCATAAGCACCGGAGAATGAAAACAGCTAGGCACCACCATTGCCGCATCGGAGATCCACCTCTCACTTGTAATTCTTTCATAGCTGAATCACTCCCTCAGAAAAATATCAGCATCGTCAACAACAACTTCTTAGTCCCAAGAAAACATACTAGGAATTCAATAACCAATCCCGTATCCCTCTACATCAACCATCAATACAACATCGATAGTCTCATTTCCCAACATGTAATTTCGGTGCTTAAATCACCACTCCCTCATTGAAATTTTTTGTAAACTTTTATTTTTAAATATTTTATTATTTATTTGTTTAGATAGAGAATGTAAGAATGAAATTGAAAGAATAGCTGATGATGCAATCGATTATGATGGCATCAATGGAGGCGGAAATAATGAAGAAGTTGAAGGCAAAAGAGGAAGAAATTGATATGATTGAAAAACTGAACTAGGCTCTACAAGAGAAAGTTAAGTCGCTGAGTTGTGAGAACAGTTTTGGCAGCAACCAAGGTGCGGTAATGACGAACTCTCCATCGCCGTTCTTGGAGAGCATCTCCAAGAATGGTGATGGAAACTTCGTCATAGCCGTTGCACCTGTGGCTGCTAGCAAAACTGGTTCTCACGACTCAGCAACTTAACTTTCTCTTGCAAAGCCTAGCTTAGTTTCCAATCATATCAATCTCTTCCTATTTTGCCTTCAACTTCTTCATCATTTCCGCCTCCATTGATGCCATCATAATCGATTGCACCATCACATTCTCTGTCAATTTCATTCTCATATTCTCCGTCTAAACAAATAAATAATAAAATAAGTAAGAAAAATTTACAAAAAATTTCGAAAGAGAACGGGGATTAAAGCATCGAAGTTACATGTTGTGTTGACGGTTGATTTGGAGGGACACGGGATTGATTCTTGAATCCCTACCACGTTTTCTTGGGACTAAAAAGTTGTTAGCTATGCAGATATTTTTCTGAGGGAGAAAAATATCAGCACTTGTATCCATGAGATTCGTTTTACCAACCCAATTAATTTGTCACTTCTGGTTATTGCTGAGCAAGGTTAAGATAATTTCTCTCCATTGATTTAGGGTGGCAAAACAGGTCGATACAACACGCATCCGACAAGAACATGAATCCACTCAACCTATGCACAACACATATTTGTTGACATTGACCCGGACACAACCAGCTGCGTGTCACGGTCAATAAGGACGACACAAAACATTTGAATTTTTAAAAAAAAAACTAAAAAATTCAGAATTTGTTTTTTAAAAAATATATTAAAAACAAAAAAATAAAATACAATTCGAGCTCTTCTGACATCTAGATCTTTAGAAACTGGTTCTCATCTCAGTTACCATGTAAAAATCACAGAAATGCACAACTTGACCTACATTGAGTAATGTGTAGGAGTAATATAAAAGACAAAACATTTGCAAAACATTTGAATAAGTTGGGGGATAATTTATACATTATTATAAACACAGATATACAAACAGGAATTGTAGATAGAACGATGCCGAATAATTTACTCGGAAAGCAATTTGACATCGAAAGGGTGAAACTTTCTTCCACGTGTTCAAACACTAACATAGAAGCACAAACAGAAAAATTCACAAAGGGTGATTCTATTCTATGTGATGCTCATCCTACTCATCATGGCACTGCAGCCCTATATGGGGAAGCGGTGGTGGGTTGGTGTAACGTTCGATGGCTATGCCTGTCTCAAACAATCGCTATCCTAAACCCCTCAACAAAAAGAAAAAGAAAAAGAAGGCGAATGGCCCAAGAATACAAAACAGAGACGGAGCTGGAAATCTGGAGCTGAACCAGATCGTCGCCTGCAGGTTGTGCGGCGGCCTGAAATGTGAAGCAGAGGGAGAGAGTGGAGAGTGTTTAGCCAAAAGATAGTTTTTACACAGGGGAAAACTATAATTTCTATCTTACACAATTCTTCTTTTTCTTTTCTTTTCTTTTTCAGACAGTGGAGCCACAACTATGACATAAGATAACTTATCTCTTAACATGAGATTAATAAAACTCTTTTATATTACAAAATGATCGTTTACAAATTTTCTTTTTTTTGCATGTCATATACTTTTCGTTGAAGTACCAGAGTAGTTTGTAAATATATTTTTTTTATAAATAATCATTATGCAGGTTGACACGTGGACCCATCATGAAAAAATGTTAATTTAAACTTGTACACAACTCGATTCAATTCGCATGTTGATCATATGATACGCATTTTGATCATAGGTTTTGGTAAGGGGAAATAAGGAAGCAAATCAGATAAGGATTTGTGCCTCTTCGCAGGGAGTTATGGACCATATTTGGAAGATATGATGATGTTTTAACTGTTTGGTAACTATTAATCATTATGTTATTTTGAAATGCAAATCTTTTTCAAATAAATCAGGATTATATTTGATGATATTTCTTCGCATATTTGAAATTTGAACTTTTTTTTAATAAATTCAGATTTATCTTTTTAAATATAGTGTTTAATATAGTGTTTTAAAACTCAGACAAGTTATCAATTCAGACAGGTAATGAGTTACTATGTCATTAGTTTAATTGAGTTTAATCGAATATTATTCACATATTAAAAAAATATAAATATATTATTTATATTAATTTCATAGAAAGAAAATTATCAATAATAAGAACTTATCTATTTTACAATGATGAATAAAGTGGCAATCATTATGCAGCAGCTAGCAAAGGGTACTCATGTCATTAGAAATAATTTTTTAACTCATTGGGTTATACTACTACATCGGTACTTTTCATTGCTTAAAGCCAAAGTTTTTGTAGGGGTTTATCTCATCAATATTAAATGTTGTAGGCTTTCAAACAAACGATGTGGTGTGCCATATTAATAAAAGAAAAAGGTCCCCTAACACCCCAGTAGCTATCAAAAATGACCATAGTAATAACAAAAAAATGCCAAACTCCTTATCATTAATATCAGAGAAAAAACAAGCAATAATTTCACGCAAACTAAAACAGAGTGATGTCAAAATTTATAACATGTGAACTAAAAATATAACCAAAAAAAGGTTGATTGTGTTCGGTTCAAATTGGGTTCTTAGCATAACCGATTCAAATGGTCGCTCAAATCGAAAAATCCATCAAGTCACCAAGACCTGGGTACACCCAACCGGTCCGAACTAGTTTTCAAAACACTGGTTTAACATTTATGCTTTTATTGTAGAAAATATTTTTCTGTCATACTCAATAAAAATGAGTAGGTCCTCTTACGAAGAGAAAAGAGAAAAAAAGTTAATGGAACCCACTCACTTTTATGTCAGTGACGAACTCAGGAATTTTTACTGTGGGGGGCTAAAAATTAAACATTTGTTTCTCTCTTTAAACATAATATATGAGAGACCAAAATACGAAAAATTAAATATTTGTTCCTCTCTTCAACCACAATATGTGGGAGGCTGAAACATCAATCCAGAGAATATAACTCATAAATACCTCTTTTAACTTGTTATAGAGAGAAAAAAGGAGACAAAGAGACAGAAAGAGGTGGAAGATGTCACAGTAAAATTTACTATCAATTTGAAAAAAACTACACATTTTCAACCCCTAAAATAAATATTTTTTATGCAAAGAAAACAAAGAAAAAGAGAAGAGAGCAAATGTTTATATTTCACAAAAAATATGTACTAATTACTATAATCTAAATAGATAATTCAAAGCAGACCCCTCTCATTTCTTAACCTCTTTTTCTATTTACTCATTGTTAGCCCAACAAGAAAAAAAAGCCAAAGATAAAGCAGAAGAGACAGATTGCTAAGAAGCACAATCACCAAAACTCTTCTGCCCCTCACTTCCCTCTTTGTCACGAATCATCAGAAAAGGAGAGGGATCGAAAGAATAAGGTTCATTCTTTCATAAGACTCTCAGACTTCTTATTTTTATTCATGGATGGGAAGATTTGTGTTAACATCTAAGCATAATAAAAGTTGAAACTTTAAGTTTCAAGTCGAGGTTTAAACTATAATTTAAGGGGAATGTTATATCTACAAACTTTTCGTTTAGAAACTCTTACAAACTATACTGTGTCTGACCGTCATACTTTAATGAGTGTATGACTGGTCATACTTAGTGTAATTTGTAAAAAAAATTATAAATAGATCTTTTCCCATAATTTAATGCTAATTCCATATGCTAATTGTTACCACCAGGTCTGTGCCAACAAACAAGAGCCACGTAGCTAAAAGAAACCATGTAGCTCTATTAGTGTTCACTGATACTCCTAACACTGTGATATAATCTTAAATAAACTTATTTTTTTGTTAAAGCAAAAAAAGACAAGAAAGCATTAAATCCTGGATTTGATAATCGTGACTTTCTTTTCTCTATCTCTTAACTCTCTCTAAAACTCTCAAACTAAACCCTGAGCTTACTTTTCAATTCGACAAGATCTAATCATGGTACTGCACTCTTTCTCATTCTTTTTTTGTTTTGTTCATTTCTTTAACTTTCTTGTAGAGAGAAAAAAATACAATCAGAGTTAGAGGGGTTTCAATAGATATAGGACTTGAGAATATAAAGAAGCTCTATAAACTCTCTGCGATGGGAGAAAACTACTTCACATTAATGGAGAGAAAAAATGGAGATTTCTTGCATTATACTTATGTTAAAAAAAAAATTCAAATTTTGAGGGAGGCGTCTGCCTACCTTAGCACCCCTGGGTCCGCCCCTGTTTTATGTGAATATGAAAGAGAAATATTTTCTCTAACAAAAATAAAAATATTTTTTCCTTAAATATATGATATGACTAATTTTCTCTTGCTAGGAAGCCCTCACTTCCTATTTTGCTTTTCAAAAGATAATAATGTTTGTATCATATTCTCAGTTTGAACGACTTTTAAAATAAAAAAAATTGAAGTTTTTTTTTTTTTTTTGAGATTTACAGCAGAGCTTTGAGTTAAATTTGTCATAATAAAGTTTCGGAAAAAATATGTGTCTTTTAAAAGACACAAACTTAGATTCTTTCAAGAGAGGAACAGAGATAAGGAGATGTGGGATCCACTAAAAAAAATAAATACAAAAAATAAAGGGTAGTTCCATCTCTTTATGTCGGGACGTAAATTTGTTTCTCTAAAAAAGCATATCTTTTTCCCTAAAATTTTATGAGATTTTGTTAAAATAAAATTATTAGTATCACACCATATACAATACGTATCATACAATGCAATATAATACAGAAAACTAAGCGATACAAATCGATTGTTTGTATCACAATAGGTCTTGTATAGGACCGTGATCGAATTGTGTATCGTATCACATTTTACAATTCAAAAATCAAACCAAAATTTATGATTGTAATTAAAAAATCTAAGGAGTCACTAATAATTAGAGAAAGAAAATAGAAATATAATCTGTGATTCAAATTCAAAAATAAATATGGAAAATCACTATAAATTAGGGAAAAACAATCAAATAAATACTTAAATTAATATACAAATCTCTTGGGTCTTGAGAAAGAAAAGAAAAAACTGATACAAATCTAAAAAAACAGAGACTTAAGCACAAGAAAATAGGGTCTTTTAGAGAAGTTTTCACAAAGTTACTGTATAGACAAAATGAGAAAAATTGAAGACTTAAAATATGATTTATATATGATTATATATTTTTAAATTATTTTTTATTATATTTTTTTATCTTATGGTTTCTGATACATGATAAAAAAAAGCAACGGTTTAACAATTTTGGGTTAAAATTTTATATTGTTAATTTCAACATGTGTCATAATCTACAAGGATTTATTATTTTAACCTCCTAGCAAATACCACAACGAAATTTTTTTTTAATAAATTCTTGATTGACCATCATATATATTTTTAGAGCTCGTTTGAACGGGCTTTTGTTTCTAAAAAAGTTTTTTTTTTTTTTTAAAAGTCATTTGAAATTTTTTAGATATTTGGATAACAAATTTTTTTAAAAAAAAAAATTAAAATAAAAGTTAAAATGGTACTTTCTTTTAGCCAATAGTTGGTTGGAAAAAGCAGAAATTAAAAGATAATATAAATTTTTAAAATACAAATTTAATCTTATCCTATCAGCCTATTATCTCTTCCTATCCTATGATTATTTTTTTGGTTAGCTACAACAACATATCACTTTACAATCAAATATCTCATTCTTTTTTTTTTATTCCTACATTTTTCTTTTTCAAGATAATGTTTTCTTTTATCTCTCCTTATCTTACAATTGCTATTTTTGGTTCTTCTTTTTTCTTGGTAAAAGGTACAAATACAATCCTATGCTTGGTGTTTGGTCCTTGTTTTTCTTTTCTTTTTTTTTCAATCCACAATTATAGAAACAAGAAAATAAATACAGAAACCAAGGCACACAACAAATAAGAAAGTGAATACAACATTGTATGTGAATGCATGTCCATGCATGTAGATTTTGTAATTTTGTATATAAAAAGTGAATATATTAATGCTATGCCCATTAATGTCCTTTTTTGTAATTTTGTATATAAAAAGTACTTTTATTTTTATTTTAACATCCAAATAATTTTTTTATATGAAAGTAATTTTCAGATTATATATCCAAACGTAAAATAATTCTACCTTTTAAAAAAAGTTATTTTGAAAAAAGTAATGTATAAAAAATATTTTTTTCAAAAGTGTATCCAAGCGGGTGCTTCTAAATAATTGAAGTGTTGATAACCAATGTATTAAAAACACTTTCCGTTTGTGTGTAGATTTATTATCTTCTAAGCGAACAACAAATAACAGATTTCTGACTTGATAATGCGAAAAAAAAAAGCAAATATAAAAGAAAATGCATATGTGCGAGGACGAGGAAGTTAATAAGTTACGGAGCATAATTGAAATAAATTATGATGTTTTATATGCTTTTCCGAAAATTAGGACTAATTAT